CCTAGGTCTTTCATGAGCATACTACACACGTTGGTGTGATATTTGGTTTTAGTGGGAGTTTTATGGTGCTTTATTTGTTGTTTAACAACAATTATGTTTTTCTGTACAGAATTAAGAATTCGGTTAACTGCATTATTAGTTGCACTTATTTGAAGTCTGATCTCACTTCAATCTAAAGAGGAATCGTCGAAGGAAATCTATTTAGATTTTAAACCACACATCATGTTTAATCTATGTCGTTCGTTATATATGTGTATGTGACCATTGATAGGTTTAGTTATGTAAATTGTAACGAAGGCCGCTTTGATCCTATACTATTATGATTAGTGGACGAGATTGTTTAAGGGTACCAATGTTATAATAACATTCATTAAAGCGCTTATACAGTTATACGTACACTTATATATTCGTGGTCCAGTGGGAGATTGTTTGATAATTATGGGACCACTTCATAAATATGTACGATATATTATTAAATCCAATTATTATGGTAATAATATAAATTGTTGATGGACCGATTTATAGAATATTTACTTACCTTGTGGGTTGAGTTCCCGGTTTGACTCAAGATCCTCAAGATCCTTCCATCTCTCACATTAGGGTTTATCTCCATCTATAAATACATGTGATGATGAGCAGATCGACACACACGAAAATACACATGTAAATTCGTTTAGGGTTTGCGGAGGGATTTTAGAGAGAGCTCTTGAGATCAACTGGAAAACCCAACCCTAGTTCTTCAGATCCGAAGATTATAATGAAATCGGGTATGTAATCGTTCTTTAATGTTTAAGTTTTCTTTTAATGAGATTCGAGTTTAAAGATTCAATGTTTATGCTTCCGCGTTTTATGTTTTGGCTATGAAAATAACCAACATAAATTTCTTTCATATGAAGAACATATCATGATAAGTCTATCATAATTACATATCAAATGTTTAAAATTATGTTATCTTTTAAATATTGTCTTTTAAATATGTTGTGTAGGATAACCCAACAAAAAAATAATAGAAAATAAACATAATCAAAATAGAAAAACTACAATCAAATAAATAAGAGCATTGGGTGGTTGAATATATAAATAAAGATGTTACATAAACATACATTTAAATCAAAAGAAAAAACTAACATTCGTCAAATTTGCTCAAACAAAAAAAACCTATATCCATTTTATGAATCTTCTTTCTTCATTTAACATCATTCAACCATAGAAACTTGATGACAATTATTCACTAACCTGCAATCAAAATATTTTTCTTGAAAAAGAAGAATCATAAAGATATTCAAAGAAAAACATTGATGTTTGGAGAGTCACATTCAAGATTGAGTAATACACACAAATCATATAAAAATTAAATGAGAAACTGAATATAAAGAAAGAATAGAAAAACTTCATTTGTTTTGGTTGAAAGAAAAAATCATATTACAATTATCATCGATGCGACATAACCCATTTCTTCAAATCATCATATTTGGATCGTGAATGCTTCAACTATATGAAAACTTTTGAATCACAATATCTTCAAATCTTTCTTACATGTAAGATTTTATATAACACAAAAGACACAAAAGATTGGCCTTTTTATAGTAAACTTTTCACTAAATGCTAATTAAACATAAGTATAGTATAAAACTTTGAGTGTTAAAATCATAATTAAGAAAACTTTTGAGTTGCATTGGTTAAAAAAGGGGGTTTCAAATGAATGTGGTTTGAGGAAGTTAAAAAAGGGGGTTTCAAATGAATGAGATTCAAGAAAAAATGATAACTTTATAAGTATGTATGATAATGAAATGATGATAATGATAATGATTTAATATATATTATATTCTATATATATATATATATATATATATATATCATGAATGTTATTGAATATGCATATCCACATAATGAATATATGGGCATCGGTTCGGACCCGTATCGAGAACCGATTTTAGGGACTGAACAACCGAGAACCAAACCGAATACCTCGGTTCCGATTCTATTCGATTCTACAAGTATATGTGCTTTTTTGGATGTGTTCGGTTATGGACCTGACTCGACCCGAACTGAGAACCGAAGAACCGATTTAGTGAGAAATAAAAAATTGAGAACCGGACCGAATACACCAGTCCTAGTCCTAGTTCTAGTTCTGGTCTGGTTCCGATTTTATTTTGCTCCAATATGATTCCATCGGATAAACACTCATCAGTAATACAAATATAAATATGCATATATGCATTTTTATTATTTGTTTTAGCAATTTAAAAAAAAAAGAATTGATGAATAATTTTTTCTAATTGTTTTTTAGAAAATACACAACTTTTTATAATATTACTATTAAATCGGAAGTTATTGAATGTTTAAAATATAATTTACCCTAAATTGCAATTAATAAATATTTAAAAGTGATACGAAATAACCAATATATGATTTTTATTTAAATTTGTATATTGTATGAAAGAAATTAGAGTTTTTTTAGTATGGTTGTTGAGATAAAAACGTTTAATTTATATGTAAGTGTAACAGTGCTCGTGCACCTTTTGATGTGACACTTCATTGAGTGAAGGAGGATACTTATAGCACAACCGGAAAGGCAAAACCGGTGTGTAAAATCTTGTTACCTTGTTTACCCTATTTACATGTGGTGTGATTTTATAAAGAGGGTTAAGTGTCTATCTTCTTCGCACGTGTAAATAGCTCCTTCTCCTCCTTTAATCCCTTATCGCCGGTCATATTCAATCCATTTATGAAAAAAGGAATAATACTTTGGGCATAAAGCATCCAATACTAGCTCGTTTCCCTACCACGTAGGATTGTATGTATTCTACACTTTTATCCTACATGTCATTTCCTTATCTTTGCCCATCAATTTCAATATATTTCCTACAAATAAACTCTTTTTACCTATTGTCATTCCATCAATTGAATTTTTGACCTATTCTAAAAAAGGTTATTATCGTTGTTTATTTATCCCACAAAAAATTGTTGTTATGAATAAATTGTAGTACTGATATACGATCGCACTTAGAAGGTTTTAACAATTTAAAGATTGTTTTCAATAGTTTACATCTACATCCTTGACATTTATGATGGTATCCCGTAATAATGATGACTTGTTATGAGAATTATATATATTTATAAAGAATAAAGTACAATTTTTCTTTACGAAAACATGTTGATTAATTAGGCTTTAATATTTTAATTTTTTTTAAATAGATGAAGATTACATGGATATATTTCGGAAAAAAAAAAGGAGACAATTAATGAAAGAAGAGGGAGTCTTTTGTTAAGGACTTGTCTAAATTTAGAAAAATAAATTCAAATGGATGTCCGAAAACAAAAGGCTAAAAGAAATGAAACACCAAATATGAAATTACAATTGTATCCCTGCTCTCTTGGTGACCCAACGTTTTTTCTCGATCTGGCTAATGCTCTAGACACCACTGGATTTCAGACAGCTTTCCACGTGGAGACATCTGGGAGCATGTTGGGTGAGTGTGTGGGTCATCTTGTTGCGTAGAACCGGTCTTATAGGGTGCCGAGGTCTGTGTAACCTGCTGTAGCCGGTAATACTCGAGTCTTTTACCGATACATCCGGTAACAAGGGTCAATGAGTATAAACAGTTGGGGGTTTAAGGCCAATGGTTGGGTGGTTTTCAGAGGGTTTTTGTTTTTCATCCTCATCTCTCATCTCTCAACTATTATTCATCATCTTTTCAAGAATTTCTAGATAGAGAAAGTGAAATAACCAAGAGAGAAAATAGAGAGAGAAAATTAAGAAGAGGTTGCGTCTGAAACAAATCAAACAACATTTGGTGTATGAAGGACAAATGAGATTAATTATCAAAGGGTGAAAAACTCATGGGTTTTGCTTGATCGATAACAACTTTGGTGATCTGGGTTTGTGGGTTTTCGATCATTCCGTTTTCACATTTCCTAGTATGTATAAAAATTGCTTCCGAAAATCGGGATCTTGAAGAAACTGTTTGGTGAATTCTTGGGCAAATCGCGGGTTTATTAGAGGTGAGAGAAGATTTTCGAGATTGAATTGGGTTGTTGCTTTCTTGTAAAGTTTCAAACTCTTGATTTGTTTCTTGAGTTTTCCTGATACAAATTTTAACTTTTGATGGAAATTTCTCGAATTTCCCTCCAAATTCATCACAACCAAACAAGCATTATCGTACAGTTTTACTGTTTTTTTCGGGCTTTCTTTTTGTTCTGAATTTCGATTCTGATGGTTCGATCTAAGTTTTTATGTCTGAAATTTGTTTCTATGTTGGCAAAATTCAGTTACCTTGTAAGATCCTCCCAAAATTCTCATATTTTCATTTTCCGGGTAGGCTTGACGACCATGGAGTTCGTTTCTAGTTTGATCTGCTTTTGGGTTTTAGATTTTAAACATCATCAAAAGAAAATATTATAATTTGTTTTCGCATACAGATCTTTTCGAATCTTTCTTCAGGGTTTTTACGAGGGGTTTGAATTCTTCTCCCCTCTTCATTTATTTCAATCCTATCCCATCTTCCGAATTCAAACCCTTTTCAATTTCAACTTTGAATTCTTTTTCCAAATTGAGTTTTCGTGCTTTCTAAACCTTTTATTGATATAAAGCTCCATCAAATATCGTAATAGTGCTCCTTGTTTCAATGGAGATTGCTGGTGGTGTGCCCTACCTTTTCTGAATCGTGTGTCAGATTCGTACTTGCTTGTGCTTGTTGCTTCCATGGAGATTGGTGGTGTGCCCTACTCTTAAACAATTCTATTTCAGATTCATACTTCCTTATCAAATCAATTCATCATCTTTTTTCCTTTTTATAACTATCATCATGATCTGCATATGCTACCTCGTTCTGTTTACTGATCTTAATTTAAAAAAAAAAAAATCCTTTTTTTTACAAATTTAGATCTTAAAATAATGGTAAGGTGATATCGAATCAATCATAGTAACAGTGATCTTAAACCTTGACACCAATGCCTTCTATGTGTTTGATATATTGCTTCACAGAGAATTTTCTAATTTAAATACATGAAACCCAGGGCTTCTGATCTTTTATCAGCTGGCTTTTCAGTACACAAACACAATGAACGCAGTAATCGTAGTATCCTGTGTATTTGTTCGTTTATTATTCATGAATCATTACAGATTGACCTGAATGATTGATAAATGATAAATTTCTTCTAGGTGTCAAATCTTTGTAGACTTTCAAGAAGATCAAGAAAACATGTCGTGAAGTGTTTGATAAATTTCTTGATACCAAGATATGGTGTTACAAAAGAGGCTAGAATATGGATTCAACGGTTACAAGGTGCCCCCAATGCCTCGGGCTCCTAGATCAGCCAGGGTAAATCCGGAAATGTCTAATTTTCCAAATTCCCAAAAGTTATCATTTTTTTTATATAAAAAGAATCCAATTTCATGCTAATTATTTCAGAAAAGGGCTTCAAAATCTTGGAAAAAGAACGAAGATCATAACAATAACCGAATGTGTGCATTTGACTTACTAGCCACTGTTGCTGGAGAGTTATTACATGAAGGTGATAAACCAAATCAAGAAGAAAACAAAGTTTTTAAAACAGAAGAAAAAGATTGTGATCAAGGAAGCTGCAATAAGAGCTTCTTTTTGTCTGAGATTATCTCAAAAGCTCCGGTTTCCGATTCCGGGCCTACTTCCGGAATCACTGTTTCCGACTTCTCCCAGAAGGCTCCATCTGCTCCAAGATCTGTGGAAATTTGTAAAATAGAAGATATAAACAATAAGGAAATGACAAACGAGGTTCCCACCAATGGGAAGCCTCCACTTGTCAACAATTTAGATAGTAATGTAAATTTAGTTATTAGAGATGATGACGAAAACTCTTGTGGATGCACTCAAAATAACAAGACTTTTGGGCCACCTTCACGAATTGGTGACAGAAGAATTAGAAGATTATTGGCATCCAAACAGTGGAAAAACTGTCCAAAATTAAACGATGGTAAGTAATTATGATTAATTAAGTTGTTATATAGTTGTGTTTATCTTTACTCCTTTTCTTGAATTTGAATGGCTTTAATGTCATTTCAGATTATCGTAACAAGAAAAGTTTCTATAAACATCAAAGATCTTTAAGGGATTACCCGTTCAAAAAACGAAAACTTTACCAGTTTGACAATCCTTCCAATTCCAATGAAGATGGTTCCAGTTTGGGTCCCACATCTCAAGATCCTGCCTTTCAAACTCAAGATTCTCATGGTAAATGACACCCTTTTGGTGTATTTAATCTTGTCCACTCTTTTAATTCAAAATTAAAGAATCTTTTTTGTTTGACTCAGTGAAACTCAAGATCAAGTCTTTTAGGGTACCCGAGTTTTTCATTGAAATACCCGAAACAGCAACTGTTAGTTCTCTAAAGGTACATACTTTTGTCAACTTATATCGAATCTTTCTTGAAAGGAAATATTATTTGTAGTTAATGGTTGACTTATTTTGACTTATTTTATTTTTACATAGAGAACGGTTATGGAGGCTGTGACTGCTATATTTAGTGGTGAGTTACATGTTGGTGTGATGCTTCAAGGGAAGAGAATTAGAGATGATGATAAAACTCTTTTACAAACGGGTATTTGCCATGATAACAAGCTAGATGCTCTTGGTTTCACTTTAGAGCCTAATAAATTTCAAGATAGGTATGTGGTGTCGCCACCTGGCACTCCCAAGTCATTAACAAGGTAAGTAAACTGTAAACCACCTTAAATTTGTCATGAGTTGTGTTAATGATAATAGACTAATAGACTAATATCTGTGTAATCATTTCATATTATTAGGTATTGTAATGAAGTAGTAATCCAGCATGATGATGCACCCGTGACTAATTCAAGGAACATAAGTGAAACGAGTGGTGTTGGTGTGGATTCACGGGCACTGGTGGCGGTTCCGGCCACCAACAGTGGTGGTGGACTGGCGGTGAGGAAATCGAAGCATGCTGAGGTGGCACAACGGAGGATTCGTAGGCCGTTTTCGGTATCTGAAGTGGAAGCTTTGGTTGAAGCAGTTGAGAAGCTTGGAACAGGAAGGTAAAAAGTTTTATTAAATCTATTAATTTCTTTATAAAAAAAAAAAAAAAAAAAAAAACGTTGTTGAAGTGATTTGATATTTGAATCTTCAGATGGCGTGATGTTAAATTGAGAGCTTTTGATGATGCAAAGCACCGGACGTATGTGGATTTGAAGGTATTTATTTTATAGCAATAATTTGTTATAAATAATTTGGTGGATTTTGAAATGAATGAAAGTACAAGTACATTGCTATTTTTGATGCAGGACAAGTGGAAGACACTGGTGCATACGGCGCGGATATCACCACAGCAAAGGAGAGGTGAGCCGGTCCCACAGGAGCTCCTGGACAGGGTGTTGACCGCTCATGGTTACTGGTCATATCACCAAGCCAAGAACCAGTTCAAACAAACAGAAATTTGTCGACTACTCTGAACTCTAAACTTTAAATAAAAATGTACAGATTATAAAAGTAGATAAGTATGGATAATGGATTATTTTTCTTCCTTTTTGTTTCGGGTTCATGGGTTTTACTTTAGTAGTTTCTTTTGTTGTTACCATGTATAAAGTGACAAAAGGAATTGGTTAGGAGGGGGGTGTGTTTTTATTTCTGTTCTTGGTGCGACGCTTGTAAAAATTGGGCAGTCGATGGAATAAAAGATGATTTGAGACAAATAGATTCTTTTTGGAAGTGTATTGTTGATTTTGTGTATCTTAGGAGGTTTACATACTGATGTTCATAGCTTAGTTGTTGTGTTTGATAGAACAGCAGGAAAAACTAGTTGATAGCCGATTAAAGAATAGCGTTTGGTAAAAGTAAAATCAACTGATAGGTTAGATAACAAATGTAAAATTACATTTACATACATAATTAAAATCTAACATATGACGTTATATTTGAAAAACACCATACCATGAGCTTATCAATAAATATCTCAAATAGTTTTTTAAAAACTAATTTATATATATTACTTTAGCGGTCTTAATAAAAATTGCGTTAGAATTAGCTTAAAAAATAAATAAGCTTATAGTGTTTGATATCCATGGTGTCATCCCTTCCTTCCCTAAAGCCAATTCAACATTTTCTATCTCTTATTACTTTTCGACTCATTTCCTCGTTCCCAAATTCAACTTAACGAGAGAAAAGAAAAAGAAATTGGGGGAAGTGAGAAGAAAGTAAAAGAAATTGGTGTTCCCGAGTTTCATTAAACGAAGGAAGTGTAAGGAAATGGAAGTATCACTTTCTCTCCTAACTTTCCTTTCGATCTGGAAGGATTTGGAGAAGAAAAAACAAAATGTTTAATTTTCCTTCCACTTCTTCCCAACTCAGGAACACAAAAGAGAACCAAACGACACGTAAGTTTATGAAATTGTTTCGTAAACGGAATTTACTCTTCTCATACTTACTATTAGCGAGTTTCATCGATGTAACCATTAGAAAATCTTCATAAACGGATCCAAAATTTAGGGCATGGCAACGAAGTGATGCTATCTTAAAAGGTTGAAGCAAACACATGAACCTGGGCTCATTTACCGCCTGACAAGAAAATTGCTGACTCAAAGTGGGTCTACAAGATTAAATACAAATCTGTCGGAGAAATAGAATGCTACAAAGCAAGATTAATCGCAAAAGGGGACACACAAATCAAAGGCATCGGTTTCCATGAAACTTTCATTTCGGTCGCAAAATTAGTTACCGTGAGGACTGTTCTCGCCATTGTTGTACAAAAAGGATAGATTATTCAACAACTTCACGTCAACAATGCCTTTTTTGCACATACATTTAACGGAGAAGTATACACGAAGGTTCTTCAAGGTTTTGTCAAGAATGATGATACACATGTTTGTCACCTAAACAAATAACTATATGGATTACGTCAAGCTTCGCATAACAACTGGTACAATAAATTTACGGAAGCACTTATACAATTCGGTTTCAAACATTCTCGAGCCAATCATTCGCTTTTTATTTTTAAAAATAAAGCTATTTATATTGTCATCCTCATCGATGTGGATGGCGTCATCTTGCTTGGAAACGATAATGCCGCCACCATCAAAATTAAGGGATACCTCGACCAAAAGCTCAGCATCAAAGATTTAGTTCCTAGCTATTTTTTTCCATATAACTTATTGTAAATATTTTGAATTTAGGTGGGTTGAGTGACCAACCTTTTGCAATGAATATACTCGCCTTTGAAATGATGTATTTTGATAAAGACAATGAAGACAATGTAGATGAAGTCGACGATATAACATATATTTTGGATTATATCAAAGTAAGTTGATAAATGATATTCGGTTGTGTATTGTTAACGTAGCTTGTTTTAGATTGTTTTAATATAGTTGTAGAGAAGGCAACCAAAGAGCTTAAAAAGATCCTATATTGAGGCTATCTCTGGTTATTTTAGTGAATAGCCCGTTACTTTGATGAATATGGATTCTAACTTTAGCATTCATTTTTATGTATTAGAACTACAACTGAATATATCGAGTGTTTAGAAGACATATATCAACATCTTATAAGAAAAAATTAACAAAAACTTAATGGTTTCATGTCGAGCAAAAGAAACAAAATAAATATATAAATAAATAAATACAATGCCCTGAAAAGACTTGCGACATAAAGCACATTGGTGTATCTTGATTCGTGCTGGTAATGGTTCTCTCTCAACTCACTCAAGTCACTTTGACATTAGCTTTTCTCTCTCTCTCTCTCATTTTTCCATCTTTCCCAACCCAATAACATATTTCTCAACCCACTTGCCACATCAATATTTTTAATTAATTAATTTAGAAAAAAAAAGAATGATGGTTTTTTAAAATATTAAAATATTCCAAGCCGCCTCGTAATGAAAATATTTCATGTTATGGTGTTCGCGATACTCATTTTGTGTTGCATTTAAAACTTCTTCGTCGGAAACTCCTAGCTCATTAGTATTCATCTTGTGGGTGAAAATAACATTAAACTCTTTCATTTTTTCCTGCATATTTTTCCATTTTGAAAACATTTGATGTATATTCGAACCCCCAAGCTACTGACTAAAATGATCCAAAACTGATTGCAAAAAATATGACGATCTATATTGACTCACGTGCCTATTCTCGAAAGTGTCGATATATGCTCGAGCCAAAGGCCCAAAGCCACTTCTTGATTTCGGACCATTCTGCAGATACAACTGTCCTAGGAATAATATCCATTTTCAAATTTATTATAATAGAAAAATGGCGTGGTTTTAAATTGGTAAATAAAAGTATTTATAATAGAAAAATTAAATTAAAAAAAATGGAGTCGTTGAGAGGAATCGTGGGTTCCTAAACTCGTGTTACAAGCCAAATCTCCAACCTACCAGATGACAGAATAAAGACCCCGGCGGTACCGCCACCATTTTTTCTTCCTCCCCGAGCCACTCCTACTTCCCTAAGTTGCCTTTGAGCACTTATTAAGTTTAGTCGTACTTAATGATATTATACTATATGTTAATTAGAAAGTGGCTTATTTACACTTTATCCATTTCAGATTTTTGTTGCATATCTTTTTATTATTGGTATATTTAGTCTTTATAATTTTATAATGTATAGAAGAGGTCCCTGTAAGTTTCTTTTTTATAGAAACAATCCATATGTTTAAGATTTTTGAATGTTGGCAGGTTTGGCTCCCGTGTAGAAAACAAATTATAAAAATTATCCCGATAATTTACAGGAAAGGTCCTTGTGCTGAAAAGATCCTTGTGCATTATTTTTACAGAAACGATCCATGTATTTAAAAAATTTACAAAAATAGTCCGTACCTAATAGAAAATTTGCAGATTATTCCACTCGCGCGCCACACCCACAATATATTGCCATGTTTCGTCTCTATATTTTTTTTCACACTTTGGCCACATGAGTTAGTATATTTGCAGGTTTGCTCCCTACATTTCACAGTTACATAGTTTCAGCCCACTTACTTCCCACGAAGAAGAGTCGGGACAATTTCAAGTCAGAAGAATAGATTTGATTTAGAATACACAATTGGCATCAGCTTGGATTTACATCAAACAAAATGCATGTGACCCAAATTGAGATATTAATTTAGCATCACTTATTAAATTATAAGTTTATAACTAGCGACTTTTCAAATCCTCTTGACTCGTTTAGGCGGGAGGGAGTGGTGTCACACTCCCTCATTTTGTCACACTGCCATGTAGGCGCCACATGTGTTTTTACCACAAAAAGTGTGGTTTGTTGCAACACCTCATAATGGTGCTGGCACTTAGGTTTTTTTTAATGAATAAAAACTTTATTTAAAAAAAAGATAATATTTCATTAATTAAAAATAAAAGTACCATTACATTGTATAACTTAAAAAAAACCTCAAAATTTAGAAAAACAAATTAGAAATATTAAACCTACAACTTAAAAAAAAACACACACACGTCAAACGATTAAAAACTTGGAAAAAAACTAGAAATTAAAAACGATTAGTGTAACGTTTTCTGACGTCCTCCTTCATCGCCAAAATAACTTGAAGCTAATCCCAGGTCGTATTCGACATGTCCATCGCTAGCACTCTCTTGTCGTTGTCCCTTTGTTTCCGAGCCTCTCTATTCGAAGCAAGTTGCAAAAATTTATCCATTTTATCTTTTATGCCTTGCACATTGTTGCCCATTTCTTGCAATTCATCCGACTCTGATGCTTTGCCATTGCCTTTGATTTTTGTTTTGAGTAGATTCCAAACTTCAAAAAGCTTGAAAGACTTCTTTTGCTCTTTTTGGTAAATGTTAAAAGCTTTCTTTAAAATCACATCGTCACTTTCACCGCTTTTTCGTTGCCGTTTCATGTTGTTATACAAATCGTTAAACAACATGATTTATTTGTTCATCTTTCCCCATTTTGAGTAGACTTGATGTTTAGAATGATATGGTGGCAGGTTCATTCCGTTGTGGAACCTAGCTCTAACGCGCATCCAAAAACCGTCATGTTTTTGGCCCGCTCCCGTCATCAGATCTTCTGAAACGTCAATCCATGAGTGTGCCAATGCTAACACTTCTTGGGGTTCCCACGTTTTAGCATCTGCCTTTTCTTTTCTTTTATTTTGTGGTCGAATGGGTTGAGTTTCTTGAACAAATTCGGGTTCAGATTCGGAAATGGGTGTTTGTGGTTGTGATTGTGTTTGTGGAACAAAATCAAAAGGATCAAAATATGGGTCGAGTTGAACTTGTGTTTGTGGAAGTGGTTGTGTAAGTCGCTGTGGTTGTGAGATATGTTGTGGATAATAGGGAAACATACCGCCGTAGTGGTAAAAACGGGACGAATAAATCAGTTGATCGTACGAAGGTCTTGGGATTGTGGTGTTTCTAGTGGGTGTTTTTTGGTTGGTAGAGTTTTTGGAAGATGACATCTTGAGAGGATTTGAAACAAAAAGAGGGTAAAATTTGAAGTGTTTGTAAGTAAGTTTTGGTTAAAAAACCTTATATATATATATATATATATATATATATATATATATATATATATATATATATATATATATATATATATATTTAGTAAAAAAAGTTAATTTTGAAAATTATGACTGTTTGGAACGATCAAATGAGCCAGCCAATCACGAACGACCAACCATCGCTCCCTCCCATTGCCACACTGCGGCCTTAGCCGCACCCTAACTGCATCAAAGGGGCGGTGTTCGGCTGCCA